AGCGGTTTGGGAATCTTTCGAGGATCTTTCTTTGCTAAGTTATAGATTTTACAAGATAAGCTCTTAATTCATTTTTCCTTTTTCTTTCTGTAGTGACAATGAACATTTAGGGCTTTTCTTGTGAATTCTATAACTTTGCAAAGAAAGGCCGTGCAGAGCTGAAAGATGTCTCATGTTGATCATAATTTCGCGGGCTATAATCGTGATTTATTTCGAAAAAGTTTTGGGGATTTTTTGAGGTTTCTGAAAAACTGGTTTTCCAGAAAGGTCTATGGGCCATTCTACATTTGTTTCTTTAATAGTTTTCGGCAAACCAGATCCAGAGCTCTGCAATATCTTAAAGTGAAGAGAAGGGTGTGTTGAACATTTTAAGATATTTTCACACTGTACATGATCGTTTCTTCAAACACACATTCTTATCCTCTTCTAACAATATCGTTTTTCTCTCACATTATTTGCTGAAATTGTCTGATGATGGCCATGGTAATCAACAGCGAAGAGGTACAATAGTTAGTCTGTCACGAGCGTAACAACCTGCGATAGATAGAACTAATGAACTCAGTCTTGAATCGTGATTGTGAAACTTGAAAGATCTATGTTTTTGAAATTGCGAACGAATCATTATTATCGTCAGTAAGTACAAACAATATTTTCGTTTCGCTCATTTAGAACTTAGTCGTAACTCATTTTTCTGCATAGATTAAGGCTTTATTCCAGCAACTGGAGAAAGTTTTAGTAAAACTGCCGAAGTAACTTTTCGAAATCGCATAAACAGAGACATTTAGTTACTTTCAAACATCTAGAAAATCACGAATTGTTGAAAACCGTCAAGTCCTATCTGTAAAGTGAAGCTGCCTCTGAAAAATGCTTTGAAAACCGATGATGGCCCTCTGAGTTCTTCTTCGAACATCATTCATTTTCGATTGACGTCATGAATACAGAATAATTGCCAAAGCAGAAGTGTAAAAGCTAAGAAAACAGTTCATGTAAGTAAAATAATGTCAGTTTTAACGTCTCTTTTAAATGTTACATCTAGAAACCAGTCTATTTTTGTAAGCGCTCCTCTGGATAAACGTAACTTGTTTCAATAAGTCTGTACAGCTCAATCTCTTGAACAGTGAAATATTTTGAACCAGTGAATAATTCGCATCCTTTGCCAGTTGTATCTTTATATTGTTTCGGAAATTCGAAGTAGAAGACGGGTCCTTGATCGGATTTCTTGTCTACGAAGATATCATCATCACCGAAGAAGAAAAGAACTGGAGGAACATATCTAAACGGTGGATCATAATCTCCATCTTTTTCGAATGCTGTAGGTGCTATTTGATGTGGGTTTGTTAATGTAAAAAGAAATGAGTTTCGTTTGGGTCTCTCTCGGCACCATGACCAACGAAATAATTTCCCTCTTTTGACTGAATGATATACATGTACTGACCATCGATGTTAGAACGATCTGAAAAGCCTTCTCTATTCAAACCATTTCTCGTACCTTTGTATACCAAGTTCCACTGATTATTTTTCTCTCCATAGAATTCATTTAGTTTCAACTGATGCTCTCACGATAGAAGAGTTCCACCGTGAAAGTAGTTTACCGTAGCCAAACGAACTCTTGGGTTATTTCTTAAGCGTGCGATACTCATAGACAGGGAGGAGGATGCCTTCCACTCAGGAATATCATTGATACGAAAATGGATAGAGTCGTCATCAATTCTTGCTGGCACGATGTCAGTAGTTATTGTACCTCGGCTTAATTCATTACATTGTTCTTGAAGGTTGAAAAATTTTTCTTTCAAAGTTTGGAAATGGATGAAGGTGACACTACATTCTGTCATTAGTCGTCCTGCTTCTGTCTTTAATTCATCGACATCTTTTAATTGAGCAGACTTTTCTAAGTCGAATCGTCCACTACCAGCTTGTGTTAATCGATCGAGCTCTTGTTTCTTGAACTCATACATCTGATTAATGCTTTGAATACTTTCATCGCGCCAGTTGTGGAGCATTCTTAGGGTTCTTTCTTGAATTCATCAAGATCAAACCGTTTAATCTGTTCACATAATGCATTGAGCTCATCTTCGATAGGCTGCAATTCGTGTGCGTGCATGTCAGATGTTCATGGAAATAATGGCGACAGACACGGAGATTACAGTGTTCGCATAAAGTGGATTGTTGTCTCTCACAATTTTCAATTTCGCATTGTTTCGATGGTGTCGTTTCTGTAGACATGGCCTTTTTACACGTAAATATAGCTCGTGGAATTATGAAGTTCGTTTTCTTCTTCTAACACTTAACTTTGATTTATTTCCATTAAAATTGAAAGAACAGAAGAATGTGTACATACAGTATGTAGAATAATTTTTCAGACATCCTGTGATGCCTATTTTGTCAAACAAATTTCAAGAAGTGACATACACGATGGGGGATAAATCGCTAAAATCGAACTTTCGGCCATGCGACGGTCCGCATCGTCTTTCCCGGCAAGGATAGTCGCCTTCGTTTCAGTCTCTAGTACTGACATATGTGGTCACTCTTTGTCACGCTACTTTCCATTGAACTATGAATAACTTTGATCAACTATCTCATCAAACATTTATTCTTAAAAAGTAAACTACATTGTGTGGTAAGTATTCAAGTAAAAATGAAAAGTTACGAGTAAATTCTAATAAAAGATTTAATTTGTTGTCGACAAAGTGGACATGAACGAAGAGAATGAGCACATGGAACACAAGCACAAAGATGACTACATGGAATGCAAGCCAATTATTTTTCTTCCATTAAATATATTAAACAATAACTAATGTCTTTATTTGATGAAGATACAAATCGAAAGCTTGTTTCAATTGTTATTTTTCCGATCTTTGATGGAATGATTAATTGATTTTTGTCTCCTTGAATAATATTAATCTGTATTTGAAGAATAAGACAAGCGATAAATAAATCTCCGTTCGATAAAAAATTATTTTCTACAAAAATAAAATTAAAAAAGCTTTGAAGAAAAACAAATGTAAAAATAAATACGTTTAATCTCTAATTGTTCTTCAATACATCGTTTAATAATAGATAATTTATAAGAAGAAAGAAGAAGTTTAACAACAGGTAGATCAAGTCTCGAAACAACCAGTCGAGATAAATTTGTCTGATCAAATTTTATTTTTGATTTATTTTCATTTTTTGTTATTTGAATTTTATTGAAGAATTTTTGTCCACATAAATCTTTTATATATTGACAATGAGGAAACCAACGAGCATATTTAACGACTGGATTATTATTTATTCCCCAATTTTGTAATGATCTACCACAGAAAAAAACAAGTTACTATATATTATTTGTACCAGAATAGAAAAATCCAGTTCGTGTCAATTGATCGCACAGTGGGCATTTTTTGCTAGAGCAAGCGGACTTTAGCTTTATGAGTGAACTAAAATTTCATGAACCATCTTTTTATAGGTTTTTCATGATCCTCTTTCTAATGGCATG